GACTTAAGGTCAAGATCATTTAAACTTAAAATTGATTTATACACTGAAGCTGCTTAGACAACTTTTGTTTATTTACTTATGTCTCTCAGATGTAGATACTTCGGGTGGTCCCCTGATTTTTTTGTGAAGTAATAAGGCAGTCCAACACTTAGCACAAAGTCATTACAGTCCTATTAATTCACCCAACGTTAGAAGACCATACAAAGTATCCAATACCTACCAAATATGAAAGAAATTTGTAAATACACAAAAGCCGTATGAGCAAAAGTGTACCAATGACTTTGGCATAAAGAGAGATAATAAAAATAATAAGCTAGTTACAATTATAATTCCTTGCCACTGCAATTTCCACGATTAGACCCCAAAATTGTGGAAATTTTCATTTAGATAGTTTTGAAGTAATTTTATTACTCCAGACAAGTATTACTTAGTATGTTTGAGTAACATTAAGGGAGATCATTTGAAAGATAAGCAAAGTAGAATTATTGTACTTGGCCATAACATTTTCCTCTTATTTGTGAAGTTTGATTCAAATTCCTTCAATAATTATTCAATTATTTCCAAGTTATTTTCTAGACAAGCATCAAAAGTATCATTAATGAAATGAACAACAAAGTAATGTTATAGTATAGTTCTTTGACACTGAACTTACTCCTACTAGTTTTTATTTTGTTTGTTTGTTTGTTTCATTTTACGCCCTTTTCCAACAGTATTTCAGTCATATAGGCGGGTAGTTTCCTTACCAGTGTCCATCCCTACACCACCTTCCTCCGCGCACTAGTTTTTATAAATGTGCAACGTTTCAATGAAATAGCAATGATTATTTTGAAATTATACTCCGGACAAGCATTTTTTTTAAGTATCATAAAGAGATAATAATGAAAAAAAAATAAGACAAAATAGCAGTAAGTTTTTGTCACTGCACTTCCTTTATCTTGTTTCTATAATTGTGTGAATTTTCAATAAAATATCATTGATAAGAGTTTATACCAAGGGCAAACACAATAAATTTAAGGGAGACAATAAAAAATAAGCAAGGTAGGGTTATTATCCTTGGACACTGCATTTTCTCTCAATGGCCTCTAAATCAAAACTTTTCACTAACACTAGATAATGACGGATTCTGTTTTAAAGGGATACTCAGGCAAAATAATGGCAAAAATATAAAAATGATGTTCTGTACTCAAATCACCCTAAAATGACATTTCTTAAAGTCCCAACATGAATTTCTGTATAAATTCTATATATTTTGGGTTTGAAGTTTAAATATATCTATATATGTTGAACGAAATTTTGACGCGAACAGAATCACCGAATAGTTTAAAAACAAGTCATGCGATTTGAACAAACCCTGGAAAGTACAATAACAAATATTGTGGATATTGTATGATTGAAACAAGTCTTAGTAATTGATTTGACATGTTTTTTAACGTTTCCAGAGTACAGAGTGACAACTATTGTGAAATTTTAGCGCTCTAACCTGACCCACGCGGGTCAAGTTAAGAAAACACCATTTTATTCTTTATATGGAGAAAAGTTTTGTTCCTTTGACTGTTTAGTGTATTCATTTTGAGGACATTTACAGAATAATGAATGAAAATTTCAAAACTAAGAAATGAAAATTTTGCCTGTGTCTCCCTCTCTGTAAATGTTTTTATATCAATTTGTGAATCTTATACTTTTAAGAAAGTTTTTTTTTGAAATATTTACACAGGTTCGATTTTGAATATGTATAGACTATTTTTAAAATACATTTGAATATGAGAATTACTTAGACTAATTACTGAAGAAATTACCCACTAATTAATACGACTTAGACCTTCTTACGTTGCGGTCCGTTGCTTTTGTATTATAAGTCCCGCATATTTTCGTATATCTGTTTTAAATATCAACTCACGTTTTAAGTACTCAACGCTTTAAGTCATACCAAAATTACTGTTTTTAGAGTTATATAACTTGAAAACACGTCTATTAAAGCCTTTAATGCGGCGTTACCACAGTGCCGATTATGGCTCCCGTTTGAGATCATACAGCGCTACGACACGAAAAGAGAAAAAGTCGGATTACTATCCTCAATGATCTGGAATGTCCTTTCATTGTCTGAACGCAGTCGTATATATTCGTAACAGAGTCCTACGGATCGGGAATGGTCCGGAGAGGTCGGCCAAGCACTCCCGACAGTTAGGTGCGTCCCGTAACATTCAGGAAACTCAGCCGATTTTGTCTAGCCGGATTACAAACGTGACTATGTCGTGACAGATTCTGCTGAATCGGATAAAAATCGTGACAATGTCCTGTGTTGTCTGGTCAGTGTCCTGTGGAACGGGCATGATCTGGAGAAATTTTGCATTGCCGTTTCTTGCCGATTGAGTCCAGATTGCGTCCAGATCTTGCCGAATGCGAACTGTCTTTGTCGAATCCGTTCCGGAACAGTTCTGTAATTAAAACGAAATTCGGCAATATTACCCACGTCAGAGTCACGACAATTACAGAACACGTATAGACTGAGTCCAGACAAAGGCGTGTGCAATGCGGTACAGCAGACTGTAATAGGATTGCGTTCCGGCATTGTCCCGATCATCCCGAATATGGCGACAGTTGTAGGATTTCAGATGCGTGGGAACACAGATTCGTCTGAACTGCTCATAGACGGAGACTTCTGCAGCAGGTTGCTCTCATGGAAATGGAAGAAGAAGAAGAAGACCTTCTATTTGCCAATTATTATTTGAACAGAAGGGCACTGCAACCTTGTAGAAGTAGAAGATACTGGGTCAAGCCCTGGATATACAGAATTGAGCAGCTCGGCCAGTATGACACATTGATGAGGGAGCTGAGAGAAGAAGATCCAAAAGCTTTCATCAACTACATGAGGCTGCCCATAGAACTATACGATTAAGCCCTGGCTCGGATCACACCCCGCATCACCAAACAAGATACGTGGTGGAGGCAAGCCCTTGATCCAGGACTGAAGTTTGAATCCGCCGTCGAACGATTCTTATAGGACGGGACCATCTAGGGACTATCACGTGAAACGGTTTACCTAACGGATGTCTTCCGTCAGAGTCGGTTCATTGTCTGATCACTGTCTGATCTCCGTCGGATCGCATTCGGGAGAATCGGGACGCTGTCGGGACAGAATCGGTCGTTTTTTACCATGACAAAGATACAAATCGGATCAGAATCGGATCGAGAACGGGATAATCGAGACGAATTCTGCTGGAAACGGCTGGATCGGGACGCCTCCTGAACAATATCTGATTGTTGTCGTGATTAAATAAATGTGTTTACAAATTTGAATAAAAATTTGAATTTCCAGCCACGAATCACAGGATCTTGATCAGACCTTGGACACATTTTAATCGGGAATGGTCCTATCAAGGACGGCAGTAAAAATCCTGAATGTGTGACTTAGGCTTAAAGTATAATAAAAATGTAGCCTTTTCTTATTGCGTTTTTGCCCTAGGCCGAATGCGCATGCGCACAATGCAACATCCGTTACTATGGAAAAATCTTATCGTAAACAAGTCTATACAAATCAAACTTGTAGGTATGCCGTAAAAATGATCGAGAAATAAGCGTTATTATTAAGTTGTATGAGATATTAAGATGAGTTTCACTTTGAATGTATATCTCTTCCACTGACAAATAATAAAGACATAATTACAATAAACGTTTTTATTATGCTGATGATGTCATCTTTGTTTAAATTACATGATTTTCTAACTTCTACAAATGAAATACAATATTGTAACATTGTGCTAGCATTGTAACTCAAAATTAATTGAAAAGTAATATGACTTAAAATGTTGCAATAGTTATTACACTTTACAGTCTTTGTAATATGTAAATATATGAGTGCTAGATATGTGACATGATAAACATTGATGTTTATGTATTACAATGATACACTTTTGTGTAAGTCTAATAAAATGAAAAGCCGCCGTATGTCCTCTGCAGTGTTGTTGCGACGTAAAACCCAATTAACCAACCAACCAACCAACCAACCAACTTAACCAACCAACCAACCAACCAACCAACCAACCAACCAACCAACCCAACCAAACCAACCAACCAACCAACCAACCAACCAACCAAACCAACTTAACCAACCATCACTCAAATGAGATATTAAATGTTTCACACTTTAAATAATCAGTCAGTCATATAGGTCAATCAAAGCGAAATAAATATTTAATACAAATATAATGAAATACGAATTATTAACCCAACGAACAGTAAACAATAAGTCATAAAAATGTGTATGATGATCAACTCAACATATATAAAAATTCACAAACGCGTGCGCGCGCAAACGCACGCACGCACACATCCTAAGACATCACTTTTCAAACCATGTAGTATGTTGTAAAAAATTATGCAATTGTTCATACAAAAAAGGTACAAAAAATACAAGTAGATATTATAGATAACAGCAAATTATACATTTTTAAAATAAAAAAATCACTTAATAATATATACTGCAATATTTTAAAGCCATTACTAATATACCAAAAAAATTAAGAACTTTATACTAAATTTAACATTTAAGTAACATTCAAACACACATTAATTTACAGCAAAAAACTAATTCTAAACATTTTTTAAATAAAAAGTTCACATAATAATATACACAGCAATATTTAAAAGCCATTGCTAATATGCCAAAAAAATTAAGAACTTTATACTAAATTTAACATTTAAGTAACATTCAAACACACATTAATTTAGAGCAAAAAATTAATTCTAAACATTTTTTAATAAAAAGTTCACATAATAATATACACTGCAATATTTAAAAGCCATTGCTAATATGAAAAAAGAAGAACTTTATACTTAATTTAACATTAAGGTAACATTCAAACAAACACTCAGAACAATATTTAGAGCAAAAAACTAATGCTAAACAAATTACAAAATAAACTACAAAAATTGCTAATGTAATACATGTACTGTACGACGGGGCCTAATTTTCACGTTCTTGTTTTTGTTTTTTTAATAAAAAAAGCACTTATTCGTGGTGTCTTTAATTCGCGGCGTACTGTTTTCTGAAATGTCATTTCATATGATGACAAGTGTTTTGTTATCTGTTTCTACAACAAGTTTACGTTGAAGCTTTTGTGTGATGACTGATGAAATCAAACTGCTGAAATGTTTGTCAAGCGAACCGGATTATATTCATCCAGTTAAAGTACAACTCCTAGAAGTATCTAAGAAATGTGTGCACTGGGTATTTGTCCATGATTACTTCTAATTTATTACAGATACGTATTAGATTCTCCTTTGCCTCCTCCGCAGTTTCTGCGCCCACAGCAATGTTTCCAAAAGGTTCTTCATAGTCTGATGACGTTGACTCGCCAAGTTCGCCAAATTGCGTGAACTTTATCTCATTCTTTTCTATCATTTCGTTCAGTTGGGTTTTATACTGCACTTCCTGTAAAACGTGCGCATGCGCAGAAGGAATAAGCATGATACCCATGATACATTTGTTGGCTGGAAGTTTCGGAATATATGGCTTTAAACCACATGATATCATAAGGGAGCACAGAACGAGGTCGACGCCGTAAATGTCACGGATCCATTCACGTAAGTAAAATCCCCCCATTCTGGCGTTGATTTCGATCAGTTTTGGTCCGGTTCCAGTCATAAGAAGTTCTACATTGAATGTTCCGCTCGACAGCCCTAAAATAAGAAATAAAATGATAAGATAATGACATGAAGTTTTACTGAAATGCATGATCAGTACTATAAAGCTTTTATCTGATACATTTGCCATTGTTTATATATAATATCTATATCTATAATATAACCATATAATCAATCAAATCGTAGCATCCAGAGAATGAAATTTAGATGACAACTTTTTGTATATATTTGCTTTCTTTTTATTCAACTTTAAATATCATTTTCATAATGAAACTATGGCCAAGCAAGAGCAGTAAGTAACTTTTATAATCTACATAAACATTAAATATATTTATTTTTACCTATCTCTGTGCAGCACTGATATGCCGCTGCAATGAGTTGTGCTTGCTTATCAGCCGGTAAACACGACGGCATGACCGCAGCTGTTTCTGAATATAAAGAAAGAAAATACATAATCAAACGAGCATATATATATGTATATCTCACATATTGAAAACGTGAATAAACTGTTGCACTGAAAAAAGAAGAGAAAACAATAGCAAAACAACGCATTATGCACATAGATCTACGAAAGACCGGTAGGGACATTTCAATTTCATGAATTCCCCATTTCATCTTCATGAATTCACAATTTAAACTTCGTGAATTCCCGTTTTCAATATACGGAATTCACGAATTCACGATTCAGCTTCATGAATTCACGACTTCAACTTCACGAATTCACGATTTCAACTTCATAAATTCACGATTTCAACTTCACGAATTCACGATTTCAACTTCATGAATTCACGATTTCAACTTCAAGAATTCAACATCGTGAATTCACGATTTCAACTTCACGAATTCACGATTTCAACTTCATGAATTCACGATTTCAACTTCATGAATTCACGATTTCAACTTTACGAATTCACGATTTCAACTTCACGAATTCACGATTTCAACTTCACGAAGTTGAAATCGTGAATTCGTGAAGTTGAAATCGTGAATTCATGAAGTTGAAATCGTGAATTCATGAAGTTGAAATCGTGAGTACTTGAAGTTGAAATCGAGAATTCATGAAGTTGAAATCAGGAATTCATGAAGTTGAAATGTCCCCACCGGTCTTTCGTACATACCAATGCTGCTTTTCACAACTCCGTAAAATCGGAATTCCACGGTCGTACATAAAATTATATAGTTTTGATGTGACGTCATATGCCAAAATGATGTAATTGTTCAGTGCAAAAATAATTTCATTTCTGTATGTAAAATGTCCTGTGATAAATTCGTATAAATTCATTGTTAAATTTTACTTAACCTATTCAACATAATCGGTAAGAAGCCTTAACTTATTAACTCCATGTACGAACCCTGATACATTGCTTAAATTCCTATAAAATATTCCTGAGTAATCTTATTTCTTTATATATTTATGCAGAAATACGCCCGGTTAGCTCAATAGGTAGAGCGTTTAACTGTGAATCGGGCGACCCGGGTTCGATTCCCGGACGGCGCAGGTCACTTACGTTGTGATTGATCATGAAATCCTTTCTACGGTCATTCGCACTGTACCTCTGCTCTGTCATATATAGCAGTTTCAGTTCCTTGCGAAAGTGAAGGCAACTAGTACTGGTAAACGTTGCGGTGGTTGAACTGTGCTCTGGTTAATACAATGTGGGCTACTGCCGTGATCCGGAGTGAAAACTACCAAAACCACTACCATTATTTCTTTATATAAAGGTTTCACAATCAAAATATCAGCATAACTGTTAAAGCTATTTTACTGAGTATCAAATTATTATTTCAAATACATGTATCACTAATGTTTAATACCGGTAAAATACGGATATCTCGTCGGGCCATTGTCAGAGATGAACGCGCCAACAAGCTTCCTGTCATACAGTATCACATCGACATCATGTTCAGAGCCTTTGTGGTACTCCATCGCCACCATAGTGTTATCATGACCGAGTCCTATTCCGGGAAAGTCCGATTCGTCACGGAAAAGTTCGGAAATGTCCTGATACTTCTTCCGGATTTCGTCTTCATTTTTAACGACAGAGACACCAACGGCGCTGGAACCGTGCTCAAGCTTCAAAATTGCTGGGAACTTAAAGCTGAAATATTGTAATAACATGTTAGTTTAATCACATTGTATTGTTTTTTCTTTCTATAGGCTACTTGTAAAACGATATTCAATTTAATTCTGAGTATATTTCTTTGTTATCTTTTTCAGACTTTTCCACTGCAAGTGATTCATTTTCAATTTTTATGGGCATCAATGCGGTTCCTTTAATAGTAAATTGATACAGATCTACGTTACGTATGCATTTTTATCACACACCCGTGCCGATTTTGCGACTCCGTAAAAATGGTATTGCACGGCCGTGCATATATTTTGACGTGACGTCATTAGCGTTATAGAAACATAGTGTAAAGACGCGCTAAATGTTAGCGTTATACTATAGGCGCGTCAATGAAAAATGACTCTTTTTCCACTTTAAACGGTCTTAATTTTGGGTATGTGATAAATAGAATATTAAATTCGTGTAAGTTCATTACTTATTTTATTGCACTCGTTGAATAAAATAATATAATGCTCGCCAGAGGCTCGCATAATATAATTTATTCAACTCGTGCAATAAATTCAGTATTGAACTTACACTCATTCAATATCCTCTATATATTAAAGGTTTTCAATTTAATTACTATGTTGATTTCTCACGGGGCAGCCTAAATTATGTCAGCGTCACATAACGTCAATAACGATGACGTCAAAACGTGACGAATACATTATATTTGTTAATATGAAAAACTTTAAAATGATTAAATAACAAATTGACATTATATTCAAAATAAAGATGTTTTATACATTCTTTTGAAAGTGTGCTAGTAAACTAAGTTTATTTTTTATCTAAGAACAGCACTAAAACAGCCAACAAATGTTGTTTAATGTGTTAATATTTACAAGCTAGATATACGTACTCTTTTGGGACTAAAACACTGTCATCTTCAGACTTTATATGAACGGATTGTGAAGAATACAAGTAGGTTCTTGGCCAATGAGGGATATCGGCTTTGCGCATATTGAGGACATTTTGTGTTCTGCTCTTCTTTTTTGCTGTAAGTGCCGCCTTGTGTTCAGAGCCTGTGAAATGAGGTAAATGAATTATACAGGTATGAATACATATTTGTCCATTCAAGAAATACACACTTTTTGTTATATACCTATAAATTTTCTCCCTAAAATACACGCAAATCTTGAAGCGCGAATACTCTTCAACGGATAAAAAATTCCGTATTATGTTAGTGACAAATACGGTACCATATATGGAAGTGCCGGACTATTTTTGACGTTGGTTCCGATCTTAGCTGTGTATAACGTAACATGTGGAAACGGGAACCAAAATTATTAAAGGCGTGACCGGTTTGCAAAACTAACGTATTTATCCGTCATTCATGAATTAATTTCTCGACAGCTACATTTCATTTCCCGAAATTACCAATAGAAGTGAAGTTTATTGAAATTCTTTTTTACTTAAAACGATAAGGTATACATGTATAATAAAAGGAAAACTATGTTGTAGCAGCTTTCTGAGGCTATGCATTTTGCTACTTGCAACGTTGGAAAAAATCTCATTTGACCTTCAGTCTCGCGAGATATCAATATTTTCCAACACTGCTCGTAGCAAAATACAAAGCATCAGAAAGCTACTACAACATAATATTCCGTATTCATTGTCTGTATAGAATTATTGATAACACCTATTGGACTGAAGACATTGGCTTATTATGCAGAAAATATCAAATAGGCCCACAAAGTTGGTTTATATTTGAAGTTAGTCATATTCTCGTTCTCCATAAAAAAACTGTTAGTCGCCAATAGAAATAATACCTATTTTGTGGTACTTTAACACCGAACAAAAGTCTAACTTTTAACAGTGTTTTTTTTTAACGGAACTAGTGTATATAAAACGTTTCATCGGAAATGTTTAAGCAAACCTTTTGTGCCGGCCATTTCCTTCACAAGTGCTGCAAGAGGTACGCAATCTTCCCAAAATGTCAGACAACCGTCGACCTGTATATCTTTAGCTTGTAATATATTATAGATATTACACGCATGCGCAAAGTCCTTCTTGTGGTCATCGAAGTCGTAGTGTACAAAACGATGAACAAGATCTTTTGCGAGATGATCTTCATCCGAATCGACTAAAGTTATCTGCATGAGACAAAGAAAATAGGTACACCAATATAAACAAAAGTCATTGTTACATGCGAAGATCGAACCTTATAAAGAAATATCCTTCCAATTTCAATGATATATAGTATGTAAACACTCGACATTCTAGAGCAAATGATATATAGGTATGTAAACACCGGACATTCTAGAGCAAATGATATATAGTATACTAACACCGGGAATTCTAGAGCAATTGATACATAGTATGAAAACACCGGTCATTCTAGAATAAGTGATATGTAACATGTAAATTAAAGCAAATGATATCTACAATGCAAACACCCGGCATTCTACAGTAAATGATATATAGTATGTAAACACCGGTCATTCGAGAGCAAGTGATATGCAGTATGTAAACACCCGACATTCTAGAGCAAATTATATATAGTATGTAATCACCCGAAATTCTAGAGCAAATTATTCTAGAGGAAATGGTATATAGTATGTGTGGTCATTGCCCTTGATTCGTGTTATATATTATTTGCTCATGACAGCTTATGCAAGTCATTAATTCACTCTAGTTATGTATACATTGTAGTCAATTTATCACCTTTTTATACTTTTATAGGAAATAAGTATCATACTATAATAATACTTATAAATAAGCTCTTACATGTATGCCGTATTTCTCAGCGTCTGTCCAGATGTTTCGTTTGCTGTAGCCGCCTCCACCAATCACAATAATCTGCTTGCCCCTTACCATGTATTGTTGGGAACGTACAATCATATTGCGAACCAATGGACGGACACTTTTACCGACTGTGTTCCCATGATAATACCTACTTTCAAGGAGATTTGCTTTCCGGTTTGATTTCAAATGGTCTTCAGTTCTTTCATTTGACTTTCCGTCACCGTCTATATATATGTCAGAAATCAATGGTATAAGTTCAGGTTCATTTTTCTTCTCAGTAGGTCGTGGACACGAATTTGTTTTGTTTGAGACGAGCATGCTCTCGCCAAGGTTCATCATAAAGTCATATAGCTGGGTGTTAATGGTACAGTCGTGGCTATTTACTTCTATTCCGACGGGGACTAACTTTCCAGCTCTCTCTGTAACTACCATATCGATTCCTACAATAAGAAATTACCATGATTTTCCATGGAGTATAAGAATACATTAATAATGCATTAGAACAGACTTTGAACTTTATACAAGATGCATAGAACTCTTAATTGTCAAAATCAAAACAAATGGGAAACGTTTATATAAACTTAGAAATGATTTTTTTTATTATATCTACTTATACATGAAACATTGAGAAATATTGATGAAATAAAATACGACTAAATAAACAATAAAATGTGTTGAATTTCTTGGTTAGATCAGCTGGGGCACTTCAAACAGAAAGATATGCAAGAGGTTATTAAGAAATATACCTGGAAATACATTGAAAAAAAACAAACAAACAACGTATGCTTGTACTATTCTCAGCCGGACTTGAGTGAAAAGCGTTGCAACGTTTTTCAAATTTTGAGGTTTTTTTCACAATAAGAACAGTTATTCTGGAAAAAAAGAGTGAGCTGATGGCCTGAAATTTTGTTGGTCTAGACCTACATCAAAATGTAACATTAATCTCGAAATATTATTTCCAGGCCGGAAGGTTATAAAGAAATTCTCCAAGCTAAAACACAGATATTTTGATTGGTCAGAAACTGTCACAGAATGTTCATTGACCAATGAAAATCCTGAGATTTGAGACAGAACTTAAAAAAAAAAGTTTTATGTCCTCAAGGCCATGTCCGTCATGTCATAAAACCGCAGTGAAGTTCCTTTAACAAACTCTGTATATATTATTCATTTTGCTGATCGAAGTAATATGACTAAATTATACAAAAGATTGCTAACCGATTACATCTGTTTGTCCCCTGAGGGCGCCTTTTTCCTCATCACTCAACAGGTTTTCTCTTTCAATTATCTTTTCTAGAACGTCAGCTGATTGAACTCTGATGGTTCTTTCTAACTCCTTCCTTTCATGCTCGCTCAAAATGTTGTACGCCAATAAAGTACTGTTAAGTGACTGGCAAATAGTGTTGTCACCATTTATAGGCAAGCGTTTGTTTGCAACGGAGCAGTTTATCTGTGAAAACAGTAAAATGCATTTATATTATTCGAATGACAGTTTCAACTCTAATACGTTACGTTACGTTAACGTAAATATACAATGTCGAATGACAGTTCCAACTCTATAATACGTTACGTTACCGTAAATATACAATGTCGAATGACAGTTTCAACTCTAATACGTTACGTTACGTTAACGTTAGTATACAATGTCGAATGACAGTTTCAACTCTAATACGTAACGCTACGTTACCGTAAATATACAATGACGTTACATTTATCACATAAACCGCGGCTCAGGAGTGTAATAAAGCCATTTAATAAAAACGATATTACACTAGACGATATTACACTAGTGTAATAACACTTTTTATTTCATGTTTTCCAGTGTTTTATTGTAATATATCAGATGATTATATTCTGATAAACCACTAGTGAAATTTATAAAATATAATTTTCACTGTAGCTGGACTATATCTGAATGCGGATGAAAAGAAAATCATAACTAAATGGAATAACAGGCAAAAATAAATGCCGACATACGTAAATTTTGCTCCTTTAGGAAAAGAAAGTCGATGTCACCATACATCATGTTAAAAATGCAACAACATTAGAGAAATTTAACAGAACTATATTTCAAAATTGATGATGTTACGTCATCATGTGATGACGTCACAAAGGAGAATGCGCGACGTTACGCGGCAAAAAATCAGTAAAAAATACTTAAAATCACTTAAAAAGCATGAAATAAAAAGAAAATTTATTTGTTTTACATATAAGATTGAAATATATTTCATTCTTGAACACCAGCTATAATATTGCATCTGGTGTTCACTCAGTGAAATTATATTTCAATCTTACATGCAAAACAAACAAATATCCTCTATGACGTGACATCATTTGCATTATAAACATAACGTTAAAGCGCGCTAATGTTAGCGTTACACTATATGCGCGTCAAATAAAAATGACTCTTATTCACAGTTTAACGTTCTTATTTTATATATGTGATAAATAGAATATTATATTCGTGTAGATTCAATACTAAATTTATTAAACTCGTTCAATAAATTTAGTATTAAACCTACACTCATTCAATATCCTCTATAAATATAACTGAAGAAAGTAATCGCTTAAGTCTGTTACTATTTATTTACTTATATTTAAAAAACTTTTAAATAGCGGAAAGTGATGGAAATGGTATCATAGCTACTGTGTATTAATGTATTTTCAAAAATTGTAAAAAGTGAAAATGAGAAATTTTTTGCACTATATGTTGGTTTTTTATTTTTTAGTTTAGTTTTTAATTTTAAGTACAAAGAAAGCACACGAAAAAAAGAGAGAAAAAAATCCAATTGTTATTACTAACCATATACGTAAGAACATGTACTTGTGTAATTAAGTTCTGGCATAACGGGAAAATGACTTTAAAAGAGAAAAGAATATACAGACTAACTCTGGAATTAAGAATATTTGGTTTTTTCCCCGTAGGTACAAACAAACTTTTACAGTTACAGCTTCGAAAATAAGCGAAACATGTTGACTTATCTATTGTGATGGGTAGTACATCCCGAAGCTATAACGATAAAATACAGATTAGCTGAGAAAAGCCCACATTTGCCGAGATCCTCACATCTGTTTTTTTTTTTTGGTTTTACGTCACACCGACGTAGTATTGGTCATATGGCGACGTTCCAGGAAGACCTCAGGTGCCCTTCCGTGCATTATTTCAGGCACGAACTGGCACCTAAGTAGAACCACCGACGGTCCGTAAGCTAGCTGGATAGCTTCCTCACATGAAAGAATCCAAAGTCCCAGTCGGGATTCGAACCCACAGCGGTGAGGGGCAAGTGGTTTGAAGTCAACGACTTTATCACTCGGCCACGGACGCCCCCTGTCTATAACAGTTGATATTTAACAGTAAATGTTAAAACCCCAAGCGTTTACGAGCTTTAAGTCATAATATATTTCGGATATCATTTTCATTTTAATGTGTTCTTACGAGCGTTGTAACGGGGGTGCCATCATGATCCCTGCAGATAGTTGAACGTACTCTGAAGCCTAATTCGTCATTTGCAGACCAAAGTCGTACTCCATGTGTACCTGAACAAATAGTAAGATATTTATTGGTTATTAACTTATTATACAATATAAATAATCATTCCCTTCATTTACATTTTTTTCTTTCAGTCTTGTCAACAGCATGAAGGTTTTAAAGGATAAATACAAGTCTTTTAAACTGTCCGGTTAGCTCAATAGTTAAGGTGTTGGAATGTGACTCGGGCGACCAAGGTTCGATTGCCGCACGGTACATTTCACTTTCGTTGTGATTGATCATGAAATCCTCTTTACGGTCATTAGCGCCGTACCTCTGCTTTGGCATGTACAGAAATTATCAGTTAATGAAAGTGAACGTAACTAATGCTAGTAGACTCTTCGGCTGAAATGTGCTCTGGTAAATTCACAATGCATCCTGGCTCGCTATAAATGAGAACAAGTTAAAAAGGTTTCTTGCGGGTGAATATTTTAATAATTTAAAGATATTTCGTTTAACTGTTTTCAGAATTATTTGGAAAAAATAGAAGAAGCCTTTGGAGACCGGAGACCGTCGAAGACCGGAGACCGGAACGAGTCGATTAGTTGGGCACCCGTCTGCATCATCCATACCTTTGTGATTTAAAAATATAAAAAAATGCGACGTTGATTAACCAATCAAGTGCGGTCTACAGATCACGTGCTCCTCCATGTACCGGAAACAGGTCACGTTCTCCTCCATGCCTCATACCAATTCCATGCGGGCTGCAGCCCATGTCGCATACCAATTCCCTGCAGGCTGCAGCCCATGCCGCATACCAATTCCCTGCAGGCTGCAGCCCATGCCGCATACCAATTCCCTGCAGGCTGCAGCCCATGCCGCATACCAATTCCCTGCGGGCTGTAGCCCGCTGGGGAAAAAAATAATCCTCGTCATACCTGAGAGAAAAATTAGTGCGCCGAACAATTACTGATTCAAAATGATACAGAAATGCGACAACGATTTTCCTTCTCCAATAAAAATAAAACATAGCTCTTATGTTTTTCCCTAAATGTGTGGTATTTAATTAAAGTTACATCAACAAATCTTGTTATGATATAAGGTATGAAATGTCATGTAGATAATCTGACGTAATATACTTGATTATATATAAAAACATGTTCAAAACAAAATGTTGGACAAACTAGTCAACAATATTCACATCATATGAATAGTCATAAATTTTATATAAACCATTATCCTGAAACAATTACAAATTTTAATCCCCAAGTGCATACTATCAAGCATTTCTGTTTTATGCCTATTGATAAAGTAACACCTTCTTTTAAAATAGATAGATTCTTTTATTCCTCCAAATTTGAAGTACAACATATATACATGCGAAACAAACAAGTATGAAGACACGGGCATAATATACAGCGTACCTAAACCACGTTCAGGATTCCTAATAATAGACCCAACGGCCGTTCTAGTAAAAACACATGTATAACTATTATGGGCATAAGCCATCAAGTGTTTGAAACAGATAAATCTTCTCTCCATAACTCGTAGTTGAACTTTAAGCATAGAGTAAGACAATTTCTGGATATATCACTTAGATACTTATCACCAAATGGAATGAATTCCAAAGTCTTGTTTTAATATCTGTCAATTACTAAAAATATTTTATATATCTTATATATCTTAGTCAGTTTTACTGGTTTTTTTAGTTAATATTTGCACTTTAACTGCTTTCTTCACTAGTATGATGCACCAAATTGATCCTGTCTATTATTACGCCAAAATCTTTGCTCGTGTTGACGTCGTCACTATTGACGTCATGTGCCGCTGACATAATTTGGGTCACCCCATGAGAAAATCAACATAGTGCAAAATTTCACATTTTTACTTTTTACAATTTCATGGAAATGAAATACAATAATTCTCACTTACTAATGTACAATTTTTACATCCTTTTGGTATTTAGAAGCTTTTAAAATATTAGTTCTAAATCGACAGGTATATAGCCAGAAAAACGCATTTTTGACGTCATGATATTATAAGTAGAACGTTATGCTAAAACGTCAAAATAAGGTAAATGAAATGGCAAAAAGATCAAACAAAGTGCTGCAGACATTGCAAAATAGTACATTTATAATAATTTGTATACAATTTGCATACGTTTATTTATTAAAAATGTTGTATAAAATTGCTCAATGAAAATTAAACAATGAAGATTTGTATTATCACGAGCATTGTTTTTTTGTTTTTGTTTTGTTTTGGGTTTTACGTCACATCGACACAGTATAGGTCATATCGCGACGTTCCAGCTTTACTGGTGGAGGAAGACCTCAGGTGCCCTTCCGTGCATTATTTCAGGCACGTTGTTTTTTTGTGGTGATGGACTTCATATGCATGGTTTTCTTCTCTCATCTAAAAATCATTTATAAGTTAAAATGCTCTTTGAGGTTTTGCGAGTGGCAATGACCAAATGTATCTATGTAAGCCGGGTATAGCGTGTTCCAGCTTTATTGCTGTAGCTATGTATTTATTTATCTTCTTTACTTTTTACATGTTCTGGTTGTTTACGTGCTTATAGCTGGCTGGACAAAAACAAATCAGTCAGTAGTTGGTGAAAAAACGCAACAACAATTTATGTTGAAAGCATTTTGGTAAACCATTTTGAAATCATTCTGATATAATCAATACGAAAATCTAACAGTTTAAGAGTAAATTATTTGCAAACTGTGCGATGTAAAAGATAAGAGGCGTATACATTAAAATTTATGAAATTTAAGTTAAAGCTTTATTTATGCATGAAAACTTTCATCTCCAGCTAAATGTATAAAAGCACTAAATTAAAGTGAAGTAAGTCATGCGTTTTTTAAATACGAAACTTTTTTGCTTTCTTTCTTTCTGTATATGTTCATATTTTGCTGGTTTTATTGCTTGCATAATATCCCCAATATGGGTTACTTGTCTACTAAAATCAATATTTATTCTAAAAAATAAGTTAAGTTATCGCATACAAACGAACGCATGATAGAGCCACACTTTACTGCTTAGACGAGAGCGGGCGGGCATGACGTTTCAGCTCGTAAATTTAAATAGAGCTGCATGTAATTTGAATAAATTTAATAAAATGGTTTGATCTTTTTCAGGGACTTCTGTCTCAAAGCGCCATAGATATAGTGACGACGGGCACTGGCAGTGGTAAGTAGAAATTGTGTACGCGGTAAATTGATAAAAAGCAGCATATTTTGACGTAAGATTCAAATAACGTTTTCTCGGTGACGTCATAGTCTGCACTTTGTTGGTTTTCTCATGCGGCGGCTTATTTCCTGATTTTTGTTTATTATGTATGTACCCTGAAGAAAGCCGTTAAGCTGAAACATTGGTATATTAAAGGGAATTATATAATTTGCAGTTGACTATTTATTTTTTTACTATTTAATGGTAGACGCATGCCATCTTGCATGGACCTTAAAGGTATCATAAATGCCACGCCGGATTCTATTTTTAAAATGACTACAGTAAAACAAGTAAGATAGTATAATACTAAAGGAATTTCAAAAATCCATTCTTATAAAGGATTTCCTTACCTTGTCAAAATAAATTTTACATATAAAAAACACATATTATCCATTCTAAGTAACCATATCTGTACATAACAATAGACTCTAAATCAATTATCTAAAACAAATACTGTCAAATGCTATATTATTATACAGAAAATTTTGAATTTAAATTTTAACTCTGATTGTATGATTGAATGATAGAGACTGTCCCTAACATGTTCTTTTATATGTTGGTATATCAAGATATGTATAAATAGCATACGAGAGAATTGCTATAGTGTAAAGAAAAATAAAGAATACATGGTTGATGTCGGGATGGAGAAGGTTTATCCGGTGAGCGAGAAAGTGTATCTTGGCGAGCTTTACTGTAGCGAGCCATTCACTTTCCCAGCGAACCGGATTATCTGGAGGTAGATAGGTTTATTCGGCAAGGCTTTATCTAGCTTATAATATAGACAGTAGCAGGATAAAGAAAAACTAAAAATCCAAATAATATTTTTTTTCTTTTTCATTATGAGTGATGGAATATTTTTCAAGAAAAAACACTTTATAAACTTGCCTGTATTTCGAGGTGAGATTGGTTCTATGAACTCCTCTATAAGCACGGAACTTCCTTCATCTATTTCCTGTAACAGATCGTCTGCGGCTTCAATGATTGACGTCACATTTGACGCACTGTGAAAGGATATTCCTACGCTCCCGAGGTACTTTGGTCCTGATGGCTTGACTACAATCTGCAATGTGTATAATTTATCTTCTACTTTTAAAATTTGTGTGTCAAATATTAGTTTAACAAACAAAACATCTTTCACGCTTATTTATTTTTATTTATGGGCGAGTATAATTTGACACCGACAGCAATATGTAATGATATGGCAATTTTCATCTTTTACTATATTTCCATTTTTATGAGATAGAACATTCAGGCACTTGAGTAAATTTAATTTAATTTTTTTAATTTAACTCGAAAGCTATGATTAAACAAAAACCCTTGAACTTATGAAGGAACATTTGTTATAAATATATATTTGATTAAAATTTCTTATATATCTGTTAAAACTATTTGTATTACCGTTTTGGTATCTAAACCTATAAGGAAACATTTGTTATAAAATACATGTTTTATTAAAATTTCTTATAAAGAATGGAAATACTACATTTCTGTTTAAGAGTGTTAAAGAAAAATATGTGTATTACCGTTTTGATATTTAAACTTTGGAGACGCTTTGCAAACGCAGATATTTCATTGCCGACGTCTTTAATGTCTAGACAATTATAACAATCAAAACTCAAAACTGCCATTTTCTTTGTTGCAGACGATAGTTTCCTAATCGGTTCTCTTCGAATTGCAAGTGTTTCCGGTATTTCCATGCCAACATCCGCCATGACGTCACGCGTCCATACTTTGTCGTCAACAAGTTCGCAAAGTTTTATTGAACTGCTCATGGGAGAGTCAAGGTTTTTCTTAAATATAAAACATGAATTAATGAGCCGCGTCAGGACAAAACCAATATAGTGGGTTTGCGACCAGCATGGATCCAGACCAGCCTGCGCATTTGCGCAGTCTGATCAGGATCCATGCTGTTCGCTTAAAACCCTATTACAAGAAGAGAAACTGATAGCGAACAGCATGGATCCTGATCAGACTACGCGGATGCACAGGCTGGTCTGGATCCATGCTGGTTGCAAACCCATTATGTTGGTTTTGTCGTGACACGGCTCACTTGTTATTTTAAAGGCACATTATGCCTCAGAAATGCTATCATTTTTATTTCTCAATTTATTTCTTTAATTTCGGTATATTGTTAAAGTATCCAAACAAATACTCATTTTCTACATAGATGAATTATCTTTTTTCTTTTGCTCTGTTGACAATGGTTATAAACATAGTAAATGTGTATTTTGAATGGATGCCTTACATTTAAAATTTTGCTACCTTTATGACACATTACTGCACATTCAGCATAAATTTCTTCATTTGTTAAACATGTAATATGCTCTAAATCCATTATTATAACATTATAAAACAAATGTTTGACATTTCTTAAGAATTAAAAATAGGATCCGAATCATAATGTGCCTTTAAGTTTTAAAACCAAATAAAAAGCCCTGTTTGTTTATGATTCAAGCATATAATCTTGAGTTTGTTTGTTAATTTGTTTGTTTCATTTTACTCCTATTCCCAACAGTTTTTCAGCCGTATTGGCGGGCAGTTTCCTAACCATCGTTCCTGGAGAGTTACACCAGTACTAGACTACCTACCTCCGCGCTAAACTACCAAAGCATCTCCGGGGGATCGAATCCACGCCAGAGAGGTAACTGGATTAGAAGACATCGACTCTAACCCCTCGACTAAGGAGGCGGTCATATAATCTTGAGAAACTCTCATTTTAGTAATTTGGTACATATATATTGCGTGAAATAAATACACTCGAATACGTAAACAGCCGTACGTTTTGTCACATATTAGGGCGTGGAACTTAATATTGCAGGAGAACTTAATACATGTAGTTTAGTTTAATTATATTTTATTTAAACTCGTTTGCGGAACAAGTTCTTGCAACTTATATACTGGTCCCTCATATTTCCGTGGTACCCATATTTCCAAGGCATTATGCATAAACAGTCTCAAGTGCCTCACAGACTTCATGCACCTGTCAGGAATTTTATTTTACTTTCTTATTGTATTTTTATTGAAATGTTACATATTCAACTGAGAAAACTTATTATATTATTCAGATTAACAGCAAAGTGAATTATTTCATCATTTGACTTTCAGTTTTTATACCTTTTAAATCAATTGTCTTTGTTATACAACCATTGTAAGATTTGATAAATGCTATAGAGATAATCCCCACTTTCAGACAAGGCTAGGTAATATAGATGTCTTAAGAAATAAAGATGACTTTTGGTTTTGATTTTGGAACTGTTTAAATGTTATTGCCTTGGAAATATGAGAAGACAACTTTACTCACTAGGCAGCAGATGGGTATTAATTGCCATGTTGTCATGCTGTGTACATAATTGCTTACTTGCAAACATTAAAAGGAATACGCTATGATATAACTGACATGCTTTTCCTACATTATTCAACATATTTTCAAGAATTTATTCTTCATACTTTTGTTGTCTGTGTTAAAAGTTACGTGCCACGGAAATATGCGGCACCTGTATATTAATCACCTTCGAGTCCGCTTCCTGGAACTAACCAGTACCAGTGGCATATGAGGAATCATGATCGTGACCCGAGTAGGGCTCGATCCTATGATCCCTGGTTTGAGAGGGGACACCTTAACAACTAGGCCATCACTCCCCTTTTATACCTCTATGTCGACACCATCACTGCGGTGGCCACTTGTAATTGTATCCGTAAAATAGTTCACGAAGTAGGTCACTTTTCTCGGAGGATCGTACTCGTCAATATACGATGCACCATTCTCGTGAAATGATATTGACTTGTGCATCATCAGTGAACTCAAAGCTGGATCGTCTGCTGACTGAACCTTGGACAACCACGAGGGTGACATGACCAAGTGAAAACCGTCTGGTACTTGTTTCCCACCTTTAATAATGAGATTATATACATTTATCTTCATTGCTTGTTTGTTTATCTGTGTGTTTTATTGGTGGTAAGTCGCACATATACTATAAATGAAATATAGGGCTTTCTTACTTCATTCATTGGTGGAAGAATAACACACAAAATAACCTTCGATTATTATATCGGGCACTAGCGGGCACCCGAGTAGAACGACCGCCCTTTTTGCAAAAAAAGTGAAAGTTAGAACAAAACATTGACTATGAATGGATTAAATGTCAAATATTGTGCAGTATGTGGTTGGTGATAAGGTTTTCATACATTTTTTTTAGTTCAGTACAGATTTATAGTGGATGATAACAAAGCTGTCAAATCTATATTGGACGGATGCTTGCCAAGTCTGGTATAGGTTTTTCAACCGTGTATGAAATATTTAATAAGTATTGTTCTCAACAATGTATGTTCATTTCTTTATTTCACTCATTTGACATGTTTTACTTGAACATCGTTGCAACGTTTTTCACTTATGGATATTTTTTCACAATTAGAATAAATGTTCTGGACAAAACGGGGTGAGTGAATGACCTCAAAGTTTGGACATACTCTATAAGCTAGAACAAGCATCAAACTCGAACAATTATTTCCAGTCCCGTAATACCAAAGAAACTTAGTGGAGTCCCTTTAAAGTTCCTGTATGTTGTAATTAAGGACGTAACAACCCATAAGTGAAATCTTATATATGTATATAATCATTTTTATAAAACATTTTCAAACATCCAAGAATATGTTAATTAAAGATGTACTGCAAATATTTGAACGGATTATATATAATCATTAAAATATATGCATTCATTTCTTATTGTAAAATTTGGCTTAGACTTTATAGAAAATAAATTTTAATTACCTCCCTTTATTTACATGTAATGTTAATTCGGTAATATCTTAACAAATAAATGTCTTTTGGAACATACAATATTGATAAATCTCCATTTGAGCACCGTATTTATAATATAAAACAATAAAATATTGAGTAAACAGATCTTTAATTATCATACAGGCGCATCATTGGGGATAATCTTGCGCATGCGCACTGAGTGGCCCTAAAGTGACCCTTAATGCTGCTAATAGGATCACTATTCTGCAACTACATTACCTTCCAAAAGAACGCCAATACATTCAACAGGGGACGACAGTAGAACAACATTCACTTGTTCTTTGTTCGAGTGACCTCTCGGCACAGATGTTCGGTCGACAGTTTCCGGATGTGCTGTTTCATACAACGTGTACTGTAAGGAGTTGTAGTAGTCCAGTAGATAACTGTCCTCTTCCGGTGCCTGGCAATTATAGGCAAGAAATGGCTTTCTAACGACACAAAATTCGTGTTCGAGTACATTACGTCATAATATCGAACGCTAGCGCAATATGGACTTTAAGGTAGTCTTACTGTAATGCACTCTCGCCAAAAAAAATTCTAACATCGGCCAACATCGTAAAAAATCGGTCATTTCCGGACCTTTATTTTTCACAATCTTCGGTATTCGTTTATAACCGGAATTTTGTACATAGTGATAGCGATAAAGGAAGAGTGATTGTACCAAGATTATGAAAAATAACATTCCGGAAATAACCGATTTGCTACGATATTGTCCGATTTAAGACTTTTTCTTTCGGCGGGAAAGCATTACAGTAAGACTACCTTAAAGTGAATTGGTCAACACTGGGCACATGTTCTTTAATTTTTTCAAATATTGATAAAATCAATAGAAATGCATCTTTAAAAAGTTGTTTGAAAAAAACAAAAACAAAAAAAAAACAAAAAAAAAAAACAAGAGGGCCATGATGGCCCTGAGGTCGCTCACCAGTAAAGAGGCCCCCGGAGCGGGGCCAGTTTAAACCCCAGGGCTTTTATTTGAACAAACTTTGAAGACACCCATTAGAAGATGTTTCATGATGTTTAGTTTTTACTACACACATATAATGAAAAACAATGACCTGCCCCCCCTCCGGCGGGCCAATTTTAACCCAAGGGCTTTTATTTGAACTAACTTGGTAGACACCCATAAGAAGATGTTTCATGCTAAATATCTAAGCTCTAGCTCATTGGGTTTTTTAAAAGAAGATTTTTTATGTTCTTACTATACACATATAAGGAAAATCAATGACACAGGGGCGGGGCCAATTTTGACCCTAGGGCTTTTATTTGAACACACTTTGTAGACACTCACTAGAAGATGTTACATGCTTTTTATCTAAACTCTAGCTATTTGGGTTTTTTCATAGAAGATTTTTGAAGTTTTTGCTATACACATATAAGGAAAATCAATGACCCCCGGGGCGGAGCCAATTTTGACCCCAGGGCATTTATTTGAACAAACTTGGTAGACACTCATTAGGACATGTTTCATGCTAAATATCTTATCTCTAGCTCTTTGAGTTCTTTAAAAGAAGATTTTTTAAGTTTTTACTATATGCATATAGGGAAAATCAATGACCCCCCGGGGCGGGGCCCATTTTGACCCCAGGGCTTTTATTTAACAAACTTGGTAGTCACTCATTAGAATATGTTTCATGCAAAATATCTTAGCTCTAGCTCTTTGGGTTCTTTAAAAGAAGATTTTTTAAGTTTTTACTATATGCATATAGGGAAAATCAATGACCCCCTGGGGCGGGGCCAATTTTGACCCCAGGGCTTTTATTTGAACAAACTTGGTAGACACTCACTAGAAAATGCTTCATGCCAAATATCTAAGCTCTAGCTCTTTGGGTTTTTTAAAAGAAGATATTTAAAGTTTTTTTCTTTCGGTTGCCATGGCAACCAGAGTTCTGCATGTAATTAAATTCTTTGAACAATTTTTAAAGGTGACCACCAAAGGAACATTCCTATGAACTTTGGATGAAATTGGCTTTGTGGTTTATGAGAAGATGTCATTTAAAGTAAAAGATTACGGACGGACGGACGACGGACGGACGCCAGACGAAAAGCGATCACAAAAGCTCACCCTGTCACATTGTGACAGGTGAGCTAACAAAACAACTGTTGATATACTTCTAAAAATGGCCGACTTTATATGATAAATGAATAATAATATTTTGTTCTGGAAACCTTTTATTATCTGCTATATAAATATATGAGCCGCGTCACGACAAAACCAACATAGTGCGTGCGACCTGCGACCAGCATGCATCCGCGCAGTCTGATCAGGATCCATGCTGTTCGCTATCAGTTACTCTACTTGTTATAGGGTCTTTAAGCGAACAGCATGGATCCTGATCAGACTGCGCGGATGCGCAGGCTGGTCTTGATCCATGCTTGTCGCAAACCCATTATGTTGGTTTTGTCGTGACGCGGCTCAATTATGTAAGCTCGGATCATGTATCTCACACTTGCCAACAACTTCCATATATAATTCTTTCGTGGTTTGTTATTATGTTTGATACTAAATACTTTCAACGTAATTATTTAATCGTATTACAGACTTTCCATCTTTACGGACGAGCATAAGTGCCAGGTGTAAGTATTTTAGTAACTCGAAATTTCGAGTTTCTAACTCGAAATTTCGACTTACTTATCTCAAAATTTCGAGTTACTAACTCGAAATATCGACTCACTCGAAATTTCGAGTTAATTTACTCGAAATTTCGACTTACTTACCCGAAATTTCGACTTACTAACTCGAAATTTCGACTTACTAACTCGAAATTTTGACTTACTAACTCGAAATTTCGGCTTACATTGCACGACTTACATTCGTTGCCGGTGAAAGCAAGGATTGTAGTCAAGATACTTTTTTTCATGTGTAGTTGCACATTGACAGAGGTCAAAATTTCGATTTAATAAGTCCAAATTTCAAAATACTATGTCGAAATTTTGAGTTACTAAATCGAAATTGCGAGATAAGTCACTCGAAATTTCGAGTTAGTATATCGAAATTTCGAGTAAGTAAGTAAAATTTCAAGTTAATAAAAAAAACTCACACTTGGCACTAATGCTATGCCTTACATTTTAGACCAATTTACTTTACAGTATTATTTTATATACATGTATGAACATTCTCATTTCTATTTACGAAAGAGCAATTAATTCAAACAACATATTCTTACCGGTTTTCCCCAAGATTTCGGCGGATCTAAATTCACATCTGTATCCCAAGTTATGTACGAACCATGCGCTTTTGAATACCCGTCGCATATTTTAGCAAGACCCTCGTTAGCCATGTCAGTACAGGAACCTTCCTAATGTATAAAAATAAAAATAAATAGAGATACTCATGCCTGTTTTAAGATGTTACATATGTTGTTGAAAGTATCATGTAAGGTATAGTACCAAATACCTTTATATTGCTTTTGCTAAACGAGTCACAAAATCCGAGATATCCTACTAAATGAGCAAAAGTTAATGTTCACCACGTTATAGCCTTGGTTTCAGTCTGTCGATTTTTTATGTGCTTCTTTTCGGCAAATCAAAACACATAGAGCGTATGTTATGAATAAGCAAAAAATATCAACGCCTGAATCCCAGGCTAACCACGTTGTATTATGTTGAAAAAATATAGCATGGAATGGTATTCTATATACTATATATGTATACTGTACAATACGTCATCTACATATAATCGTAGAATACTTGTAAATGTAATATTGCATATGATATAAATGCTTTAAATCCTTTTAATTGTAGGTACAGAAAACCTTATTTTACGGGTACATTTGAATCAACATAATTATTGCAAAATAAAATTTATAATATACGAGTTTTAAATTTTTACAACATAGTAATACTATAACCGAAACAGAAAAGCGTTAAATTAAATAATTTGTTTAAGAATTATGCAAGTGTTAAAACAGCAGTTTTTTTCATTCATTTTAAGTAAAAGTGTGGATGTTTTCTAAAATAGAGGAAGCAAGAATCCCCAAATCTCTAAACCTTCTTCGTTAAGTTGTTATAATACTTTTCACGTTCATATTTGGATCGTGTGCGTGCGTGCGTGTCTGTGTGTTTATCAAAGTACAAACACGTATTGTGTCCAATGAAGTTTGATACCATTTCACTAAAAAAAAATAAATCAATCAATAAAAAAACTTTCATGTATATGGAAGTGACAGAGCGGACACAACAACCACCATTTATATGTATATAATATAAATATCGAACAAGTTTAAACCCCAGCAGTGACCTTGCCTTGAACTAAGGCATAGGAACACGGGTCTTAAGAGCAACTCATCATACATTTATGATGATTTCATATGTGAAATAAAAAATATAATCCTTTCATGCATATAAGTTTCAGAGCAGACACGACCATCTCTGCCTATATGTATATTATCATCAAAATTGACAAAGTTTAAACCCCGCAGTGACCTTGACCTTAGTCGTAGAAACATCGAGTTTTGTTCACGACACACCATATATCTATGGTTAATTCACGTGTGAAAGAAAAATTAAAATCCTTTCATGCATACCTAAGTTTTAGAGCGGACATTACCACCACCTCCTACATTTATATAACATTAAAATTTATAATGACAAAGTTTGAACCCCCAGAGTGACCTCGACCTTAGTCAAAGAAACAAAGGTCTTGTTTGCGACACACCATACATCTATGGTTATTTCATATGTGAAAGAAAAATTAAAATCTTTTCATGCATACAAAAGTTTCTGAGCGGACACAACCACCACCATCTATATTTATATAACATAAAAAATGACAAGTTTGAACCCCCACAGTGACCTTGACCTTAGTCAAAGAAACCAAGGTCTTGTTTGCGAGACACCATACATCTATATTTATTTCATATGTGAAAGAAAAATTAAAATCTTTTCATGCATACTAAAGTTTCTGAGCGGACACAACCACCACCATCTATATTTATATAACATAAAATGACAAAAATTTAACCCCCACAGTGACCTTGACCTTAGTCGTAGGAACCCGAGTCTTATTCGCGACACACCAAACATTTATGTATATTTCATATATGAAAAAAAACTAAAATCCTTTCATGCATACTTAAGTTTCAGAGCGGACACGACCACCACTGTCTATATGTATAAGCCTGACGGACTGACAGTCAGTCAGACAGACGGACGGTTTTATTTTAATATGCCACCCTTCGGGGACATAAAAATACAATTGCCAAGCCATCTCCTTTCATAGGTCTTACGTTCGACTTTATGGCATAATTTAAAAATAAATAATTTTGACAATTAACAAAAAATTTAATTTAAAGGAAAAGTATAGTTTGACTTAAAAAAAAGGATGGTCTTTGGGTAGAAAGATTAGATTTATTACTTTTTTTTATCACATTTTATGATTTTTAATTCCTGATTCAATATTGTTTTAAATGCGCACACCTTTCAGATTAACTTTTAAAAGTTCTTGTCGAAAATTTATCTATTATGCTTATTGATAATAAATTATATATAATGTAAAATGACTTATCATTTTAAACTTTCTAACCATTACAATTGTCATTCTTGCCTGAAATAATGCACGAAAGTCGGTGTGGTGTAAAACAATCACACTTTCTGACAACTGTCAGATGTTTTAAAATTATCAAGAACGTTTTGTTGGTTTTTTTAATTAATACAACTAGCATTCCTCATTTAAATCATTTTTTTTTCAAAGCTAGTCTAGATATATGTGTGAAATATTACGATTTATATTATATCAATCCAATTAAATGGACGTATAAATAAATAAAATTGTCTGCGGAAGAGCTTTGATTTAAATATAGATGGTCAGACTATAGTATTGTTACATGGCCATCTATTGGCTAATTAAAGTGCAGGAAAAATTGAAAGATTCAATTGGGCATCAGGTGATTGGATGAAAATGTAATGTGTATAGGTACAAAACTACTTTAGAAACAAACATTACATTCTTTTCTAAAAAAAAAAGAAATATTTCTTAAGTCTGTCGAATAGTTTTTTTACTCGGATATTTACGTTTAAAAAATTATAATTATGTCCGTCCTGTGATGGTTGGGAAATCCTCATTGAAGTCATTTTGCGAAAATTTTGGTTTTCTCCCAGAAAAATCACAGATGAAAACTCAATTCTAAGGTCTGTTTTAGGGGTCATTTCTTATAATGAAAGTCGATGTGAAATTAATATGTAGTCTGACCATGTATTGTGTTGTAAAACTGATGTTAATTATACCTGATATATATATTTACCTATGAGAATGCCACTTCTATTTTAATGCTGCTAAAATGCATGTTGTGACGTAACAGTTGGCAGCACACAAACCAGCAAGAATGTTCAAAATAACATTATTAGCACATCATCAACTAGGTATATGTTTAAGAAATAATCTATCCAAAACAGTGATTTTATCGCTGTTTGGAGTTCAGATGAGAGGAATTATTTCACGAGGGCGTAGCCGGAGTGAAATAATGATGCGCATCCGAACGACCAACAGTGATTTTATCAAGCTTTGGATATATTAGTTCGATTCTAACACGACATCAACAAATAAATGCTGCGTACCTGATATTAATCTATATTGCGCCTGATTTGTTTCCGTACTTATTTTCATAGCGTCACAGTTTTAGTGGTTACGTCACGTGTATATGATTACGTCACATGTCTAAATATAAAACGTCAAACTGTGATTTTATTGCATAATATTAACACACACTTTGGTTCTTCGATGTTCAATGGGGAAAATGCGGGTCGTGTTAGAATAGTGTTTATTAAATGAAATTTTAACAATTAAGAAACCAAAAAGGAAGCAACCGGTAGGGGGCGACCGTGGGCTTGCCCGTGGGTTCTCAATTGTTAAAATGTTCACTTAATAAAAAACTAACTTACTTAAGAAATAATGTATCCCAAACAGTGATTTTATCGCTCAATAACATCACTGTTTGGAGTTCGGATGCGATGAATTATATCACGAGGGCGTAGCCCGAGTGATATAATGATGCGCATCTGAACGACAAACAGTGATGTTATCAAGCGATAAAATCACCGATTTGGATATATTATTTCGATTCTAACACATCAACAAATAAATGCTGCCGTACCTGATATTAAGCATAATTGCGCCTGATTTGTTTCGGTACTTATTTTCAGCGCGTCACATTTTTTTGTGGTTACGTATACGTCACGTGTATAATGATTACGTCCCATGTCTAAATATAGAAGTCAAACAGTGACTTTATAGCATAATAACACACACTTTCGGTTCTTCTATGTTCAATAGGGAAAAATGCGGGTCGTGTTAGAATTAGTGTTTAACTGCATCTGACCCCGCTGGCATATACTATGTGTTTTCGCATTTTTGTATTTTGAACGCGAAAAAGCGAAAATACGACAGATGGAATGCAAATAGACGACATATTTTATGTGTCGTATTTCCGCCCTCCTTCTGTCGTATTTTCGCTTTTTTGCCTCGAAAATCAGAAAAAGCGAAAACGCAAAGGGACGACAAAGTGAAAAAACGACATGGCGTAAATCAGCCACCAAAGGTTGCACACTTGGTTCAAGCGAGAAAAATCGTTGCAAACTTGAAATTGCTACCGAGTCATGAATATTTACAACACAGGCACGCATTTTCTACAGGTAAGTGGGTTTGTATATATATTTTTTAATTTATTATAATGCCCATTCCTCAAGGCAATGTTTATGGTCGGTTTTGGGCTTCTGATTTGACGAAGATATTGAAGATATAAACTGGTCATGTACCTATTTAGCGATTTGAAAACTGACAATTCTGGTCGGATTTTATACTCATGTATTCAAATCTTTGAGTTTTGAAGTTTACTAAAACAAGACAAAGTATATTTCTGTCAATATTGGGTGAATGTTTTAATTTGCATGTTCCAAATAAAATTTCAGTAGATTCTACACAAAAATATCTTGTTCAAGCACATTTTGTTTACAGTACTTCAAGAATTTCTTGTTGCAAACTTATTCTTATTTTTATTCAAATATAATACTGCAAAAGGATTCACCGAAGATCCTATTTTGGCAAGTGGGGCAGAAATACTAACTTGTCTATGTAAAAATCGTTGGCCATAATTTATGTTCAAACCCTTCACCTCATATAGACGAGTTTTGACGACTTTTCGAGCCCCCTTTTGAGGCCTCAAACAGTGAAGAAATACCCTATTTAGGGCCCAAACACTGTTTTTATGTTTGAGAAAAGGTACATCAGGGGGTTGCTAGAAGGGGGATGTGCCCCTTTCTGTTTTGGGGGTTTGAAGGGGGCGGAAGCCCCCTCATCGCCAAGAATGTTTTTGGACATGTGACAGGCTTAAATGGCCTCAGGTCCATCAAAAGGTAACGTGTAACCAACGCTGAAAAGCCCTTTACTCCATCTTAATCCATTGGGAAGTTGCAGCACTTTGAAATCAGTTTTGATGAAAAAAACAAACAATGCAAAATAGTGATTTTTGCAATTTTGAGACGTCCACCCGTTGCCATAGTAACATGAAATATTAGATTGAGCATGCTGTTACAAAGGCTATGGTCCAGTCAACATTTGTGCCAAGTTTCATCAGTATTGAAGTGTTTATCATAGTTTCATAACAGTTTGGACTTGTAACAGGAGGCTTTTCAATGAAAACGGCCATTTTTCACAATATGCTCATGAGGTAAAGGGTTTATTAATAAAAATGTAAAAGCTACAAAACAACAATTGTTCACCAAAATTAGGTTAAAGGCCACGTGTTAACATGGAAAAACTAGATTTTGGGTAATTCCAAGGTTTTAGAGGTTTTGTTAACCCTTACGTGTATTGACGGCTTTTCGACCCCCCCCCTTTTAGAGGTCTAAAAAACAGTGAGGAAATACCCTATATAGGTCCCAAACACTTTTTTTCGTATAAAAAATGTTGATAAAAAAGTGATCACTTTTTCGGCGCCACCCCCAATCAAAAAGGTTCATCAGGGGGTTGCTAGAAGGGGGATGTGCCTCCTTCTGTTTCGGGTGTTTGAAGAGAGGCGGAAGCCCCCCTCATCGCCAAGAAAATTTTGAACATTTGACAGGCTAAAATGGCCTCAGGTCGATCGTAAGGTAACATGTAACCAACACGGAAAAGCCTTTTACTCCATCTC